TTGACAGGAGAGTGGTTGGTTGGTCCTATTTGTGTCTGGGGTACAAGCGGGGCGTGTGTTTTGGGGTACCCAGCTGTGATACATTGGTTCATGAATCACCGTGTGATACAGTACGACTTGTCTACAATCTATCACCGTAGTAAGAACTGGAAGATGAAAGATGGTGAAATAGATCTGATTGCTCAACTCTTGCTTAAGGACATAACTGCTAAAGAAATTAAATACAACACAGATTCACACCAATAATTCCATAACTAGTCTAAAGCTCTACCAAAAATAAACTTAATATTCTTCTAATTCACTTACAATTGTCGTGTCCTACCTAACCTTTTCTCCAAAGCACCTAAGACAATTAGCGTTCATTACAAAAAAAATTGGCATACCAAACCAAGTAGGCAAGCCCTAGTCTGACTAGCCCTGTAACCAGCCATCCATCATCTCCCTACGCCTCGCCCTCGGCCCACCAACATCAATCATAGCGATAGCCAGGTAGGCCAGCTGACACGGTTTCCCAAGAACACCACCCCAACATCACAAAATGGAACTAGAGAAAGCAATCTAATGCTGCGGACGACGATCCCAGCTACACAGAAGACATGTAAAGACATGTAGATGGATGCCGAGAGCGGAGACAGGAGCAATCGTCGGTGGATATGATGTAGGTGGCGAAAATGCTGGTGGCGGAAGCGCAGATGATGTAGCAGATAGAGGACGCTGGACGGGAGGCATCAGCGGCATAGGCAATGTAGCCGACGAAGGACGCGATGTAGGAGGCATCGTCATCGCAGCGATGTAGCCGACGAAGGGCGTGATGGGCGAGGCATCGGCGGCGGAGGCATAGCTGGCGGAGGACACTGTGTGTGAGGCATCGGCGATGGAGGCGTAGCCGGTGGAGGACGCTGTGGGAAGGCATCGGTGACTGAGGCATAGCTAGTGGAGGACACTTTGAACCAGAAGATGTAGCTGACGAAGGACGCGGTGAATGAGACATTGGCGGCAATATAGCAAAAAGAAGGTGGTGGCGACCGGAAATGAGATTCATCTGGGGAGGCTAGGGTTTGAGGGCTCAGATGGCGCTGACGGGGTGGCTAGATGAAAGCTCTAGTTTGATTTTGTTGAATTGATGAAACCCTAAGTGCTAACCTAGTTTATCAAGTGATCATGATATAGGTAGCACACTCCAAGTGGTGAAGCAAATGAAGATCATGACATGATGATGGTGATGCCACGGTGATGATCAAGTGCTTGGATTTGAAAAGAAGAAAGAGAAAAACAAAAGGCTCAAGGCAAAGGTATAAATGGTAGGAGCCATTTTGTTTTAGTGGTCGAGACACTTAGAGAGTGTGATAATATTTATGATCGATAGCCGTACTATTAAGAGGGGTGAAACTCGTATCGAAATACGGTTATCAAAGTGCCACTAGATGCTCTAACTCATTGCATATGCATTTAGGATCTAGTGGAGTGCTAATACTCTTGAAAATATTTGTGAAAATATGCTAACACACATGTGCACAAGGTGATACACTTGGTGGTTGGCACATTTGAGCAAGGGTAAGAAACTTCATCGGTGGAGTGTCCGCTCGTAGAGTGCGGACAGTCCGACGGTGCCATCGGCGCTCTATATGGAAAAGACGGAGGTCACTATAAGTGACCGAACGCTGGTCTCGGTAGGACTGGCGTGTTCGGTCAGTAGAAGCAACGAAGACGCTGTCGTCGGTCTCTGACAGCTAGGTCACTTAGTGACCGGACACTGACGGGGTGCGTCCGGTCCTGCTAATGTGGCAGCGCACAGAGGAGACGCCGAGTGACCGGACGCTGGGTGAGTCCGGTCGAGCATGACCGGACGCATCCGGTCATGATTTCTTGCTTCTGGATGCTTACTAGAAACGACCGAACGCTGAGGTCCAGCGTCCGGTCACTTCGCAGCAGCACGCCCGGTCTTCACTTGACCGTTGGGATCGGGCGCTCAGTATTTGAAGAGAGGGGACACGTGGCGTGCATCGGGCGACCGGACGCTGAGGTCCAGCGTCCGGTCAATCTGACCGGTACGTCCGGTCGGCCCGTGTTCAATGCAGTGAGGAGCCCAACGGCTCTATTTCGTGGGGGCTTCTATTTAAGCCCCATGGCGGCTCTAGCTCACTCTCTTGGCCATTTGCATTGACATAGCAACCTTGTGAGCTTAGCCAAAGTCCTCCCACTCATCTCTATCATTGATTCATCATCTTTGTGAGATTGGGAGAGAATCCAAGTGCATTGCTTGAGCGTTTGCATCTAGAGGCACTTGGTGTTCGTGTTTCGCTGCGGGATTCACTTGTTACTCTTGGTGGTTGCCACCATCTAGACGGCTTGGAGCAGCGAGGATCATCGAGCGGAGGTTGGTGATTGTCTCCGGCTCCGATCGTGGTGATTGTGAGGGGTTCTTGACCTTTCCCCGGCGGAGAGCCAAAAGGTACTCTAGTGGATTGCTCGTGGCTTGTGTGATCCTCATCTTGTGTTGGTTGTGCGGCACCCTATTGAGGGTTTGGCATGTGATGCCAATTAGCGCGTGAACCTCCAAGTGAGTGAATCACCACGAGGAGTAGCTTGCCGGCAAGCAAGTGAACCTCGGTAAAAAATCATTGTGTTCATCATTTGATTCCGAGGTGATTGGTCTTCATTGATATTGATTCTTGTGATTGATTGGTTCACTCCTCGACATGGCGGTATAACTATCTTGCTCTCTTTCTTTACATTACCGCAAACTAGTTATCAAGCTCTTTAGTGTAGCTAGTTGTGAGAGCTTGTTAGTTTGGTTAGTGTGGCTCTTTAGTTAGTCTTTGAGAGCACACTAACTTAGTGTAGTGCCATAGCTATTGTGTGGTTAGAGACAATAGAAACTAAAATTGTGGTAGGTGGCTTGCATTTTTAGTAGGCTAGCACAACACTTGCTTCGCCTCATAATTGTCTAACCGGTTTGTTAAGTGTTGTTGTAGAAATTTTTAATAGGCTATTCACCCCCCCCCTCCCCTCTAGCCATTAGGACCTTTCACTAGCGAGGCTAGGGTTTTACGTAATGAAGATTCTCAAGAAAGACTTATGCTATGGGCCTTAATCGGCTGACGTACCCACGCTATCGGTAGGCCTGCTAAGGCCCCTTTGGACGAACGAGGGGTTAGAATTGTGCAATATTCGGTATTGATTTCACATGCAAAATGTAGGATTGAAAATTTCTATAGATTCCAAAGGAACCTAATGGTTTGCACTAGAATAGTTGATTAGGGCCCTTTGTAATGTAGGAATTTCATAGGAACTATGCAGGAATTTCATAGGATTCGGTTCATTTTCACAGGAAAAACACAGAAAATGGGGGGAAAATCCCACAATCCAAAGGGGCCATTAGGATTGAAGTTTCCTGTAGATTCTAAAGGAGCCTAATGGTTTACCACGCCCTGTTCGCTTGAGTTTATCTGCCAAAATCAGCAGTACTTTTCAGCCATCGAACAATGTTTTTTAGCCATGGACTACCCTATTCGGCTGGCTGATTTTCGGCTGCTGCTGATGCTGATTTGTTGTGAGAGGAAAACATTGTTCCATGGCTGAAAAGTAGATGGTTTGGATTTTGCTTTGAGATTATTGAAGCTAGGTGCTATTGGGTTAGGGTCTTTTGGGTGGAGCTTCATCTAGCTTTGGCTTATTATTACTACACTAAGATCATGCCCATGTGTTACAACGATAACAAATAATATCACCATAATTATAAATTTAAACATGTATTATTATAAAAAAAGTTATTTGAAGATGTTCGTAAATGTTCCATTTATAACCAATTATCACTCTTCAAGAAATCACTAACGACGTTGCCTTTGGTGATGACATGTTGATGGTCCAGCAGGACTCACTATTGCTCCTGAACTCGTTTTTGCTCAATGGGTTGACGGGTCCGATGATGACATGTTGATGATCCAGCATGTTCACTTGTTGGTTTCAGCCAGTCCAAATCAGTCAGCCAACAGTGTTTTCCTCTCACAATAAACCAGCACCAGCCAGCCCAAACCAGCCCAGAAACCAACCAGTGAACAGGCTGAGATGACGTTGCATTAGCATCCAATTAGTAATAAGTAACTGTCAAGGCTGCAATTGCCAGCTAGATGTATGGTTTTATTATTTCTTATTTATAGGTTACTAGATATATGTCCGTGCATTGTACCGGACAACGAAGTTTCATCCATGTCTACGACGACGTATGTTGCTTGTGGTTTAGATGGACATATTAAGAAATCTACTAATCTAATTACATAAATCATATTTCATGATCTTTATCACATATATCGTGTAGATCTAGTTTATAGAAACCTAACAAAATTGGTTTCACTTTTAATTAGTAGTTGTGTGATTTATTACTATATATTTTTAGAAAATATAAAAATTTAGAAAAATCTAATAAACACCTTTTCATTGAAACCCTAAGAGCTCATTCGTTTACTGGGGAACGGATGCATGGAACAGTTCCGAATGGAAAGGCATGTTTATTTATAATAGCAATGATCAGATTAGATTTTCGGCCCTCAATCCACCCTAAACGAACGAGGCCTAAACTATTTCGAAATTTATCTAGTTTTTCTCTAGAGATGTGGTCTTATTATCACACACGCGAAGCCGGTCGATCTTGCTGCTTATGGGACGGTCCAATTAGGCGAGGGAGCAGTTGCAGACTACTAGCACAGTAGCACTAGCCACTAGTCAAGGAAGAAGTTGAGTCTTTTTATTATATCACTAATAAAGAAAGAAAAAAAAACCGCAGCCAAATCATTCAACTCGAACGCATAAGACCAGTCTTTGGATTAGCAACTCCGTCGAAATGGGTATCGAAAGAAAAAAAACAGTTTCTCTATCTCTACAATTAGGGATGAATACAACATTTCTCTGAAATAACTCGATCTATTTATTCTCGCCTGTACTGAGCTAACTCAACTATTTTTTTCCTGTCAGATTCCTGAACTTGGGCCTTCGGCAGCAGCCTAGAAGAATTTGTCATAGTCTTGAGTGGGCTGCCCCCACACGTCCATGAAACCTGAAACCATATGAACAAAGAAATCGCTTGAGCTTTTGGAATTAACTTACTTAGGTATTATCCGACAATGGCCCCGTTCGCTGGTCTGAACTTTGGCTGAAACTGACTGAAAAACACTGTTCCGGCTGAATTGTTGTGAGGCCAGTTTCACTAGCATCTCAATGTTGACTCAACAGCTTCATATTTTTATTCTAATCTAATAAGACTGCAAGATCCTTTTACTATTCCATTGTACATGCAAAAATATTTGACTAGCAGTATGAGCAAAGCCAGCACGGAACACGCGGGGCTAGCACTTGCAGTATTCTAGTTTCGAAGTTGCACAGGAAAGGTGTAGTGCAACCGATCTCTATGTATAAACGTGTTAGTGCGGCCACTTGCTAACTAACTGCCGCATTGATGTAGATTGTTTGTGCAAGTTGGCCTGGCCAGTAGTGACACACAAAGCTTTTAGGTCACAGGTTAAAATTCCAAGTAGTCACTAAGTTTGAATACCGGGGTAAGGTCTGTATGCCTCAAACAAATGGGAGCCCAAAATAACAAATAGGGGGTTACGCAAGAGAGTAGTGTGGCTTTCGCACTGTAGAAGGTATGTGAAGGCTGTACCAGCTAGGTTTCACAGGGCAAGACGATGAGGATCTCATCTCATCGTAGTTGATGGTGTTTGCTCAAGTACTGGAAAGTTGCTTAGATGAAATTAGTGATCCAAGAATCATCCCTTTGGCCAAAATTTCTAGGTTCATGGGCACAAGCAGCAATCCTAACCTAAACGTGTTCTTCAAAGTTCCACAATCTATAAATACCAGGGTGACTAGGGCCAAAAAGTGATTTTAAGTTCATTATTATCACTCTAGCCTGAGATTTACCCTTTGCACTGTACGGACTAACTTGCTGGCTAATGAGTAATGACTGCATCATGTATTTGAAATTTTCGTGAAACCTAAGATTCTTTCAGGGTAATTTTTTATCAATTTATAAGTTCACTGGAGGTACAGCTACCAGCTACTATCATTATTTGGCAATATCATTTCCAATTAAGTCAATAGAAATATGGCAAACATCATGTAAGTGAAGTTATAAATCATGTCTTGTTCCATTCCTAATAAAACAAAAGAGGTTGCATCCAGCAGTGCCTGAGTCTGGTCAATACTCAATACAGGTCAGTCCAGCTATTCTCGCATAAGGCAAACCAAAAGAGGAAGGACCATCTAAAACACATTTTGGTCAACACAGGTCAGGGAACCACATTGCCCCACTAAAAGGAAAGGCCAAACATGATCCAATGATACGTGCTACCTACACTGACAAGTGATTTTGGAATAAAAACAAATTCAGAACTGTTGAGCTGTCTATGGCTTTGTTCATAGGATATGGAGAGACTGCAAATTTTGTAAGTATTTATGCATCTGAAACTGGGAGTACACAAAAAACAGACAAGTGGGCATGGAGAGCTAAAGCAGGAACGTATTAGACATAGTATATTAAGGGAATAGAAGAAAATCATCAACTTACCAATATCAGTGAGAGACCCATATATTGGATCATCCATGACAGTAATACCCTGAAAGAAGGGAAAATAATATACTTTAATATGTTATTCATGCAAGAAATACAATAATTATTTCCTGGAACTTCACTAATTGCCTGCAAGTAGGGAAAAAAAACTACATAAAAGTATCAGGCAGCCTCCCGTCCTCACCTCTGGGTCATTGGCACCTATTCCAGCATGAAGATCTGATTGCATTGATGGGTAGCATGGTATATCAGAACCGAGAAAATCGGAAAATGCAAGGCTGTAGCCATCTTGAAGACCAGGAAGAACATCCGTATGTATTCCATTGCCAGGGTCCATGATGCTATCCATGCTAGAGCATACCATCTCATTCCTGGTTGAATCAAATTGTATAACTGTTAGCAGAAATACCATGACACTGAAAACAAACAATATATTGGTGTGCTAACGAAACAAACACCGTCATGAACCATCTATCTGACTGATCTCTTGACACACAGGGAAAGGGCCAGAGAGACATAAAGGACTATGGAGACCATGTTCAAGACTACCAAGAATTTCTATATGATGCAAACATTTCGCTACAAAAAAATTGAAATTTATTGAATCAGCATAGACTAGGAAATAATTGAAGTCGAAGAAACTCACTTTGACTTTGACAAATCAAATCCACTAACATCAACTTGTGTGCCACATTCTATATCAATTACTTGAACATCCTTATTGTCTAATGGAAGCTGGCATAAATCATCTGTAGGACTGGCATTGGCACCTGTAAAAGTTCCAGGATCTTCTTGCGGTTTATTATTTGACTCTGCGGAAGATCCAGCTGCAGATGGCTGGACCAACACTGGATTATTGTGCATTGACTTCGACAAATCAAATCCACCAACTTCAACTGGTGTGCCACATTCTATATCAATTACCTGAACATCCTTATTGTCTAATGGAAGCTGGCATAAATCATCTGTAGGACTGGCATTGGCACCTGTAAAAGTTTCAGGATCTTCTTGCTGTTTATTATTTGACTCTGCGGAAGATCCAGCTGCAGATGGCTGGACCAACACTGGATTATTGTGTATAGCGGCAACCTCTGTACTACCAACTAGGTCAAGATCCGATAGATTTAGTGAGCTAGATTGATCCAGCTTTCCTTCTTCCATTTCGATGACAGCTTCAGCACCAACATCACGATCAATGATTTTCCTTTGATCGGGCGACTCAATCAGGTGCACATCTTGTGGCAGCATATCAATATGACAGATCTGTGTTCCTTCCTTAAATTGAAACTTCAAGTTATTCTCATAAGATATTGTCTGAGTTAAGTTAGTTTCCTCAATCAAGCTGTCCTTGTGAGAAGCTGTTGATGGAGGCAATTCGGTTTCTTCAATCAAGCTATCCCTGTTATTAGCTGTCAACGGAGACAAATCAGCTTCTTGCATCAAGCCATCCTCTTGCGCCAACTTATCCTTGTGAGAAGCTGCAAATGGAGATAAGGTGGTTTCCTGCATCGAGCTCTTCTCGAGGGCATCCGTTAACGGAGATAAGTTAGTTTCTTCCTTATATTGCTGGCCGACCACATGTGGTTGTGCATCAACCTTCTCTTCTGCCATGTTTTCAGTCACAGCTGGTATTCCATTTTCTTGAAGAAGCATCGACTCTTTTGGTGGAGCACAGACATCACCAGAGCTAGTGTTTTCTTGGCAAATTTTATCTTCTCTGTTTTCTGACGCACTGTTAGTCAAAGATCTCTCAGCAGATTCACCGATTACCATCTGTGAAGCTTGACCAGAAGAAACTAGATCAACTGTTTCAACTACTGCAGTTTCTCCTGGGATAGACGCTGCATTTCTGTGTGCACGCACTGACCTGGGCCTTGTTGGGGTTCTTGTGAAGTTACAATAGTCAATCAAACTCTTCTTACCAACGTGCATCTCAACTTCCATATTTGTCACATCACCATCAGAAGTGTTGTGATCCAAAGTAGCCTCATCCATAACTTTTTTGTCATATTCAGCTTCCTCATCAAGAATCTCATCTTGAATCTTACCATCTGGCAACTGGTTGGCATCTGACTCTGTAACAACACGACAAGAAGCATGATTTACATCGGTGTCTATCCCTTGCTTGATCACCTCAGTTTCTGAATTCTGTGTCTCACTGTCATCCTCCACCTCACCTTCCTCAGTCTCCTCCAGCACCTTTGGCGCATCAGTAGCATCCTTACTAGTATCTTCGACAGAGCTCATAATCTTCGACGTTGTATCCTCCATGCATACCCCTGCTACAGCCTTCACTGTCAATGGTGTCCCCTCCCTCACTGCCTCTGTAACACTAGTTCTCACCTCATCACTCCCCCGATTGCCGCGTCGCTCCCTCCGAAACCCAGGTGCCCCATCTTCATCCCCATCCTCGTAGCGCCGGCCATTTGGAAATGGCCTTCCCCTCTCCTTCTCCCTGTCCCTCCCTGAATCCAAATACCCCCTCCTGTATTCCCCATACTTCCTCTTCCCTCTTCCATTGTAGCTGCCACGGCTGCAATCATCTCTGCTACTGATGCTACTAGTAGTGCCATTGGCTCGCCTAGGCTGGCCGCTAGGGTTATTGTTGTATTCATCTTCATACCTCCTCCGGCCATAAAACACAGGGGGTTCCTGCGGTGGCAGCTGCGGGGGCGGAGGAAGAGGATGAGCGGGCCACGCGCCTGAGACGCCGGCGCCGCGCTGCAGGGCATCCGGCGGGAGCACGCCCTGGGCGACCAGATACTCGGCGGCGAGGCGACCGGCCTCCATCAGCACCTCGTACTTGCGCTCTAGCGGCGGCGGCGGCGGCGCCGGAGGAAACGGCGGAGGAGGAGGCGGAGCGTAGTACGGCTGCTTGTGGCCGCGGGGATACCCGCCGCGGCCGAACGGCGGCGGAGGCAAGCGGCTGCGGTGGTTGTACTGCATCGCAAAGGTCACACCTTTCTCCACGGAATCCACGAGAAATTCGTCAGGGAATTCTGAGGCAAAGACAAAAAGAAAAGGTGTTACGATTTCTGCAACTTATCTCGCGGCGGGGAATCAGAAACCCTAAAAGGAGGGCAAGAACTCACGAGTCACGATTCAGCGGCCAATCTTGCCATCGTATTGGATAAATCCACCAAATGGAGGCCGGAATTACCACTGGCTAATTCAGTTCTTGTTTCTTTCTACCCCACTCTGTTCTTGGTCCGATCGATGCGGGAGAAGGGAAAGGAGTACTGAAAAATGGAAGAATTTTAGTAGATTACAAGAACGCGACGATGCACCTATTTCTGCTGGGAATTCTAATTTCTACGGCAAGAATTTGCTGCTTGGTTTAATCCAAGGAATTAATAAAAAGGAGGGGGAAAATTAATGGTCGCTGGTTTTGGTGGGTCGGAGTATCAGTTTTGGATGCGCGCGTGAATACGCACGTGGATCCAATGCCTCTGTGCTGCTCGGGTCGTGGGTATGTGGATGACTGGTGGGTCCCGGATGTCATTTGGTAAGAGACGGTTCACAAGTGGTTGTCTGGAAGCAGTGGAGATATAAGCGCATCAGTCGCAGTCCATCAGACCGTGTGTCTGCCATGTGGGCCGTGCGCTCATAGCAGTCTTTTTCTTTGATGGAACTGCTCCAGATTATCATTAAACATAGCAATAGCCACGAAGGAGTTACATAGTTCATAAAGAATTTTATGAAGTTTCAGAATGTTAGAATATTTTAAAATGAACTTTGAAACAGTTTTTTTTTAACTATCCGACACGTCTTTGTGCAGGGGTAGATCCGACGTGAAGGTTGAATGAAGACCATGTATGAGAAAAAAATGAGAAAGAGAAAGAGAAAGAGAAAGAGAAATAATAAGAATATATAGGACAAAAAGAATTCGCAAGCCCTTAGCTGGTCATTCTAGATCCAATTACCGCATGCTTATGTGTTGCTAAACAGTAGCAAAATCAGAAACTTTCTGAAGTCTGGACGATTCTGATTATAAAAATATTTACCAATAAATTATAGTGTTATATTGTTTTCTTTTGATAAAAAGAAAATTTTCTTTTAAACCTCTGGGCGGGCAGTTGGTAAGGATCCTATATATATGACTTCTAAATTTAGAAACATGAATCGCATATATCTCTATGTATGATGTCAAGTCCATTATAAGAAGGCCATGTGATATTTTGTTATTGCACAGGAAAAGAGTATTAGTTTACTTTTGCGGTTGCAACTGGCACACAAAAAAATCAAGGAATATATCTTGTTATCTAGTGCCATGAAAGATCGGAAAATTTATGTGGGCAATATAGCATGTCCTTATCACATGTGCCCTAACCACAACACCATTTATGAAAGCGGGAAGAGATGCTCGAACTATGGTGTGAGTCGATATAAAGAGGAACACTAGCTATCTTGTTGATGCGAATGATGCAAGAGCCTTAGTGGCGGCGAAGATGAAGCAAATAAAGGGGCGGGGGTTGAAAGTGTCAACAAGTTTCTCATCCAACATCATGAGCCTAGTTTCCATGAAAGATTTATCACTGACCAACTATAATAGGATTGTCAAGATTGCCACATGATGATGGTAGTGTTTCTCCCTATTGTAAGCAGGGCTATCGGTTTAGGGTAGGTACATAAAGGTGGTCACCTGACGAATGTCTTATTTCTTCAATGCTATCTCGTAGAAAGTGACCAATAAGTCTAAGTTCACTACTATATAAATGATTTGGCGAGACAGGCCAGGATTTTCAGAGGCGGGCACAAACTCTATGTGTCTCATAAAATATGCAGTGGTTTCAGAGACGGATAGACCATTTCCGAAGGCACCAAAAAAAGACCATCTCTGTAAATTCATTAACCGCCTCTAAAAATGGTGGCCTTCCTCTGTTCATAGGCTGAGCCCGTTACCAAGTTGCGTGACCCATCTCGGCCCTATATTGCACTACAAGTATATATATGTACGTGCATTAGGGTTTCTTCTCATTCTCACTCCTCTCTCTCTCCAATCTCCATCCACCAGAGGTTTTCAAACTAACATCTCTCTCTCTCTCTCTCTCTCTCTCTCTCTCTCTCTCTCTGCTTGTGCGGAGGAACCGATGGAGCTCGTCGAAGCGGATCCGGCGGTGAGAGGGCGGATCCCGACGGCGGCGCGCGGGCGGGTCTCCCGACCGCGTGCGGTCGCGTCTTCCAACGTAGTTCACGGCATCGGTTGTGCGAGCAGGATCATCAACGACAACGGCATGCGATTAGGCCTAGGAGCGAGCTCAGTGTCGGGCCAGGTAGTGGGCTCGCCAGTGGGCTTGTGCCTTTTTTGTTTTTTAATCAATTTTCGCAGGCGGGCACAATGACTGCTTCCGAAAAAATGATTAACATAGACGTAGAGAGCGAGGCGGACGTGATGCCTGCCTCTAAAAACCGTATCTGACCGCCTTCAAAAAGCTTTTAGGTGGTAGTGGTTGATGCTTGCTCTACAAGCATTCATCTCATAGACTCTTAGCCAAATCACAAGTATCATAACCTTCGAGCGTGGGAGAATCTAGAACTTAAGGATACTACGCAAAGAGCTTGAAAATCTGATCCTAGAATAGTTTAATGATGTTATGAATGTACAGACACATGAAATATCGACTTTACTTACCTTGTATATGTCTCGTTTAGTTTGCAATGTTCGTGTTACGTCAAACAAAACATGTGATCTGTATATTGATGGTCAAATATTGCATTCATATCACGATGGTATTGGTTGTGTATACATTCAATTGCCGAGATATGTAGTTTTTATATGAAAACAAATACAAATACGAAAACTAAACTAAAAAAAGAGGGGGAATTTTAAAAAAATGAAACTTATTAACAAAGACATCAATCTTAGGTCGAATGCCTCTTTTAATGTTAATTTATAGAGGCGGCAACAACCCTAAGAGTGTTGTCTCTGTTAATAGTTTTATAGAGGCGGCCTACATGACTGTTTGAAATAAATGACTCGCAAAGGTGGTCAGCCCACCACCTCTTTTAATTAAAATCAACTAGCTCCGAAAATAGCTTTGTAGTAGTGTTTGAAAATAGGTCCATATATACCACAACATAATTCATAAGTTTATTCATTTTAGTTTCTTGTACGATTATGAGCATAAGATACTCCCTGCGTTCGTGAAAGAATGCAATTCTACACTCCCGAGATTAGATTAGTGATTTTTTTGATGAAACAGTGGGGAAATTCCCAACCTTTCCTTTTTGCTTTTATTAATAATTAGAATAGAAAGATTACAGGGGCACAAGTAGTGAAGAAAAAGGAGCTTAGTGATTGAGAAAAATTACCAATATACCCCTGCTTTATTCCTCTTGCAGATGACTGGTAAACGAGGATCGAGGTCATTCCAATATATTGTGACTGAGAAGGTGGTGTAGAGAGAAAGTGGTTCGGAGATTTGTGGTTGAGAAGATGCATGCAGGTGTGGAGGGAGAAAGCAGGACCCATTGTCCAGCTACCCTATTAAGCTACAAGTCAAGATTGCATTCCTCGTTGGACAATGACAAAAGGCTAAAATTGCATTCTTTACTGGACAGAGAGAGTACACTTATACGGCTACACCGTATATATGTCCACACATCTGTAAGTGCTTATCATGTTTCATGCTTACAAGAGTAATATTGGTAAAAGCATTCACGTTCCTCTAACTCATGAAAACCAGAATCTCCACACATAACTTGTTCCCCCTATATATTCATTATGTACTAGGTACGCTACACTAGTTGATCAATTACTGCCACTAGTTTTCTTGAGTTTTATTGGCTTCATTGTAGCTTTGTCAACACTGTTTTTTTAGAGTTTATTGCCAGCTTCATCAACACGTGTAAAATATTTGTTAAGGGCTTGTTTGGCATAGCACCACCATCTCTAAATCCACCAAATTCAGATCTATATCAAAAAAAAGTTTGCTAAACATCTCCAGCTCCATCAGTGGATCTACTCCACTAAATTGATGGATCTGCTCCTAGATTTATCAAACTAGTGGATCTCCTCAAAATGTGCTCCACCAAATCTAACTTTGGTGTAGTTGGGAGAAATTACCCACCAGTGCCGCTGGTTAAAAAAAATAATGTTTCGATCTATTCTGGCCGTCGCGAGGCCGCCGTGGCGCTTGCCGGAGCCCCACCTGTGGCCTTGGCGCTCGCCGGAGCTCGCACCGCGCCTCGCTGGCCGAAGGAGCGCCGCCCCGACCCTGCCCCGACCGCGGCGTTGCTCCGGCCCCACCCCGCCCCGGCGCTGCTCCGGCCGCGAGCTTGGGCCACAAGCGCCGCCCCGCCCCCGCCCCGGCCCGGCTCGGCTCTGCGGTGGCGCCGCGTCGACCCCACCCCGCCGCGGCTCGGCTCTGCTCTGCGGTGGCGCCGCGTCGCGAGCCCTCTGGTGGCGCCGCGCCAGTCACCATGGCCGGCCGCGCGAGCTCCGGAGCCCGCCCACCCGCCCCCCGATGCGCGATGCTCTACTCTGTTCGATCCGTAGGAAGAGGAAGACAGAGGCGTTGACGTGTGGGACGACCCACGTGGAAGTGAAATAGAGACGAAGGTGGAGCTGTCCCACCTCTAGCTGCGGTGGAGCTGCTCCATGTATGTGAAACCCAGATCCAAATTTACTTTTTAGCTTGGTGGAGCTGTCCAAACAGGCTCTAACTTTAGACATTTTGATGAGCCTCTTGTTTAAGGTTACGAATACAAGGATCTCTTCTTTGTATCATATATAGAATGTTGCATATTGAAGCCCCTAACGGTATGGTCATCTCATCTGTGATGCATGCTTGCATTTGAAACCACCTCTCTACCCTTATTATAGTTATAAATGTCTGCATTATTTGGCCGCGTATATTAGCTTGGACTAAAATAATGTACACATACATTCATTGTTGATGCTTCAATATGACATAGCTAGCACTGTTGTGCTTTACCTATGTCAGCTTAACCACACTATCCACTCATTGGCAATGGGATCTATCTTCAACTATTACAGCCCCTCCTGGGTTGCTACTCGTTCTTCTTAGTCTGTTAAATTGAATAAGGAATATTATTATCAATTTAAAGTATAATGACAATTTATAAACTAAATTTAGGCTTATTTTTGGGGGAAGAGAGGACCTACTTGTTGTTTGAGCAACTTTGTCGCCATCCTTATTAACACTTGTGATGGCGCTAGCATCTTTTGTATGAGAATCTTCAGTTGGTTCTGATGGTCCAGATGCTGAAAAATAAACATGATCAAAGAATGAACTAAGAACCCTTGAGATTGAGTCATGATATGTTTAGGAATAAAGATTACATTACTATACAAAGGTGAAGAATAATGCAAGTTAGATAGTGCACCTTCGTTCTTTCCCATGTCATTTTCCTGAACTTCTTTACTACCTAATCTCAGGGCATCTTTATTAGGTGCAGGCAACTTTTTACGCTCTTCCTTCTCATCCTTCGTCCATACCCCATGCCCATCCAATGTAAAATTTGGTATCTTCATCACACGCTTGATCTCTTCCTCTATACTCTTGGTATCCACATTCTTATCCTTTTCTTGTGCTGCATCCTTATTATTAACCACAATTTCCACATATTCAATATTCTGCAATTCTGAACAGATATCCTCCCATTCCATTGTGAACTTCTTGAGATACCTCAGACGTAATGTCTTTATGGAGGTTGATTTCTTTGTGGAAAACTTTTTCATGTCTCCACCTCTCAAGTAGAGCTTCTCGAGCTTCTCATGCCGTTCAAGTTGTAGCTCATACTTGGGGTAGCACCGAATGTCCAGTTTCATGAGGTCTTCTGGCAACTGAAAGCTGGTCCATCTCTTAACAAGTTCCTCTCGCTTTTTCTTCACCTTTTCCGTGCCACCCTCCAGTATGCTTGGTATCTCACTCCATGTAATTGTGAGTTTCCGAAGGCTAGTGAGGTACTTAAGATCTGCCATCTCACCCTTGCCTACATTAGCATCAGTGGTGATGCTAACAGTGAGCTTTTGGAGCTTCTTCAACTTTCTGAGGTCTTGTATTCGGCATGCCTTGTTCCCTTGTGTTCCAGTTGCGAACACGAAGCCCTTGAACACCTGCAACTCTGTGAGGGATGTGATTCCTTGGCCAATGTGCTCCAACATGTAGCACTCAGTGAGATCCAAATGGGTAAGCTGTTTCAATTGTTTGACGACACTTGCCACCACTTTGACTAGGTTTTGGCAGCCTCGCATGTCTAGGATTACAAGTTTCTTAAGGCTCTCGATCCCTTTTGGGAGCTCCGTTAGCCGTGATAGCCCACGGAGACCAAGGTATCGGAGGTTCTTGAGCAAGCCGATGGCATTCCGTGACTCCAGGCCATCCACCTCCATGTATGTCTTGTCATCAAGATTATTCCACCGGCCAAGCTGCAGCACAACCAAGCATTCGGCAAGGTTCAAGAATGCGGACTTGGATATGGGGTACACATGTGCATTGACATTGAGGATCACTCGCTTCCCTTCAAATATAGCATGTCCCAGCTCAGAGCTGGGCTTGATGTTTTGTGCTCCCTACAACAAAGTGTATGTGTCAGGAACATCATTTATGTGTACTTGTGCACATTGGTCAGTACATATATATCGTTGCAAACTTGCAATGTACGTAGTAGTACATAGCTTGTACAACAAAATTAGAATTAAGTTCATTCGCCTAACACATTAGGCATCTACTAATATAGTGTGTTGCAGGCACTGGTTGCCTTAAATTGAGAAAAAGAATTGGGCCGAATGAAATGAAATTATGCATGCAAATACAATTTTATTATCAGAAGAACTAATATGTTGATACATGGACGGTATCTGAACTATCACTAGATTTTCAAAACCCGGTGCTATCAAATTGCATATAAGGGTATATATAATCTTATCTAAGTGACCGAGTCATTTAGATAAGATTAGAGATCTTAATATGCCGTTCGATAATACGCGGACCTGAATGACAATATAGTAATAATTTAGCCACACACGCATAATTTACTCTTTATTTGTTGCTAGGTTCTCATTACATTGCTTCCGATAAAATATAAACCAAAGTGCCCCCTCCAAAAAAGAGAGTAAATAATCGTATTTGGGAAGAAAATTTCTCTTAACCTAAAAGTATCATTGTCCCTTGGATTGTTTCTGTGCTTTTCACCTAAATAGTACCCCCTCCATCCTAGAATGATAATCGTATTTGTATGGGGAAAAGTGAAACTTTGCAAATTTTGAAAAATAGTTATTCAAATTATATATAAGTTTATAGGACATAAAACTTGCACCAATAGATTTGTATTCAAAGTGCCTATGAGATTATGTTGATTCTTTAGGAAATGGCAATATATTGTAAGAGAAATTACGGGTCAAAATCTATTTTATTTGATTTTTCTCTGATCACTACTATGTGGTAGAGTCTTATGATGACCAGACAAGAAAAGAAAAAAGAAAATAATTTTTTGTGAAGAAATATCATAATAATATCAAGAATGTTAGTTAGAACTAGAAAAACATTTTTTGCAGAAGTCACTATATGCACATAAGAAATCAGACACTTCTAAAATCTACGTCATATGCATTTGACAAAGTTCTAATTTTGGAACGGATTGGAGTTTCTTATTGCTGTACGCTTGAGTTACTGGCCAACCGTGTCTATAGAATCCAACCCTTCTAATGTAGTAATAATAGAAGTTTGAAATATACAAGGGGAACAACCATATTTCTTATCTTGAGAAATGCAGACGTGCAATTGCAATGTTGTAATAGACTATAGATTCTAAAATAAGTGTTGATGAATTGTACCTTGGTTGGCTGGTCCTTAGCTTGGGTCGAGTCTTCCTCGTCCTTGTGGGAAGGTGCCTTATCTGCTGCTGCCATGGATTTGCTGCTCCCGACCTGCGCCCCATCTTTCGCCGTCGGTTGCTGCTGGTCCTGGACACGGCTGCCCTTGTCCTGCAGGGGAGGCTCCTTTGTTACCTTCTTGCTTTTTCTCCCGGCCTGTGACTCATCTTTCTTCCTGGCCTGTGCCTGCTGCTGTGGCTGTGGCTGTGGCTGTGACTGCGACTCATCTTCCATGCGCATCTTCTGCAGCACAGGCCGATTGCCTGCTGTCAGGCAAAGGATGCTGGAGTTGAGTTGCAGGTCCGCGGGGCTGCCCTTGCCGTCCAGCTCGGCGAAGCGACCACCCCTCGCCTGGCGCTTCAGCATCCAGTGCACCAGGGGGTTCACCTGGCAGCCATGGATCACCTTGCTGCACCAGTTCTTTATCGGCACCAGGAAGCCATGATCAGAAAGCATGAAGAAGATGCCTTCGGCGTCATCATCCCTTCTGTCAGCGTCCCCGCCTTTACCCTGCGGCGCCGTCGGCGAGTCATTTTTTCTGCCGCCACCGGCAGCAGCAGGAGCCCGCGCTGGATCCCTCCGGTGCCGCAGGTTGAACTCCGCCACCCACCAATAGATCATGGCCTGCTTCTTCACCTCGGAGGCGAGCTCGAAGACGGAGAAGGTGAGGAGGCACTTCTGCCTCACGCCGCTCAGCTCCTTGTTGTACTCCGTCGCAAGAAGCCTTGTGAAAGCTTCCTCGAGGATGTGCTCCAGGCGCACTTCCTCTCGCGGCCAATTCGGATGCTGCTGCTTCTGCTCCAGCCCTGAGGCCGGCTGCTGCTTCTCCTCCAGCGCCGACGCTACCTTGGCCTCGCTGTCTTCCTCCCCACCCGTACCGGAAGCCGGTGCCGGCTTCTTGTCCTTGGACCGGTGCCTGCTGTACAAGGACATGACGAACTGAACCAGCCTGCCCGCCTTCCGAAACTTCTTCAGCGAAGGGTGCTCCCCTTCGAGCTGTGGTGTTGTCTTCCCCGCTTGGGTTTCATCACGGCGGCACTTGCTCTCTTCGCCTTGGTCTTTCTCCTTCCTTGCAGCGCCAGCGCTGTACTTCCGGCTCGGCTTCTTCTTCGCCGCTGGCTTCTGCTCTTCCTGCCCCGACGCCAGCTTCTTGCCATCCTGCGCCGACGGCTTCATCTCGGCTTCGCCCTTCTCCACTGCAGCCTTGCCAGCGCTATCCACCGGGAGCGGCATCCCCCCCGGCGTCGGCTGCTTCGTCTCTCCGCCTGTGGGGCGGAGGAATAGCAAGCTCACGGCAGCCTGGAGCCATCGCCACCGACGACGCGCTGGCTTCTCTTCTCCCTCCTGCGGCCTTGCCGCTGCCGCTGCCGGTGCGGCGTCCTTCTCCTCCTGGACCGAGGGGGCTTGTTCCGGAGCGCCGCCTTCTTGCTTCCGCGGTGGCTGCTGTGGTGCTGGTGCAGCGAGTTGCTTCTCAGCCTCAGCCTCAGCCGCCGTCGCCGTCGTCTCCTGTGACGATGTCTCAGCTGGCGGAGGCAATGTGGCCACTTGCTCCTGCCCTGGCTCCGGCCGCTTGCCGTCCAGCGCCGCCGGCTTCGTCTCGCCTTCGCCCTTCCCCGCTTCAGGCTTGGATGGAACACGGACAGCGCTGCCGCTGTCCTTCTGGGGCGGCGGCGGCATCTCCCCTGGCATCGGCTTCTTCTCCTCCAGCCCTGACACCGCCTCCTTGTCGCCCGGCGGTGTCGCCGGCTTCGTCTCTCCGCTTTTGGGGCGGAGGAAGAGCAAGCACACGGCGGCGCGGAGGCATCGCCACCGACGACGCGCGGGCTTCTCTTCTCCTTTCTCCTCCCTTGCCTTTGGCGCGTCCTTCTCCTCCTCGTGCACCGAGGAGGCTAGTTTCGGAACGCCGCCTTCTTGCTTCTGCGGTGGCGGCGGCGGCGTAGGTGCGGCCGGCGCCGCACTCTCTTGCGCCGGTGTCTCAGCTGGCGGAGGTAATGCGGCAACTTTCTGTGGCATGGTTGCCACAGGTGGCTGACCGTCTGCCTCCGTCGTGGTTTGCTCCGGCGCGCCAACCGCAGCCGCAGCCGACTCTGCTTTAGGCAGAGCGGAGTCGAGTGCGGCAGGACCGCCGCCGGCGGTTTCGGTGTCTTGTGAGGCTGAAATCGGCGTGTCAGCTTCCAAGCTGGGCTCCGCCACGGTGTCCGGGGCTTGGAGAACCGTTTCTTGAGGCAGTGGAGGGGGTGTAGCAGCAGTTTCTTTGCCAGGCTCCGCCATGGCTGTCTCTGTCTCGAGGTTGGAGGCCGAGAGGAGGTTTGAGGCTGTGCCTAACGAACAGTGTTTAGCATAATTCAAATTTCAGCATAAATGAACAGGCCGGATTTATCGCTGATGCGCGCAATTCCTAGCTTGGGCATGTCAGCTTTCCTGATTCCTTCCTTGCTCTTGCTTGCTCCGTCGACGTAGCTTTGGACATGCACCCCCTGCAAGCCAAGGATGCTCCCATGGCTTCTGTGTTGTACTTTGCATCTTACCATTCCAAATCAGACACTGTAGCTTGGTGAATTTAGCTGCATGTACATTTAATGAATTTATTACTGCACTTTACAATGTAACAGTGCTCTGTTCTCCAGGATCTTACCTGCAGGAGCCCAAAGCAAGAACAGAAGTCTTCAGGCTTTGGGAGACAATTCAGATTTCAGATTTACTGGCAGCGATCTGAATTCCAGTTGTTTTGTCCCGTTTTTTTACCCCCCTTAAACACGGTATGGCAGCGCTGAGAGTAATGGAATCGGAAACAGTTGCTTGCAGTTGCGGCTGGTATGTCTTTCTTAAAATCTTGCTGATAACAGCTCATTGAAGTGTTGTGTCAGCTTAGAACAAATCCCTCAACTCCAGCTTATGCCTTTGAAACCTGCAAGCAAGCATTAGATTCTGTCATCGGTGCACATCGTACACTGACTAGTGTGTGTCATGTACTCATGTAGGGTAACTAAACCATATGACGCAAGACATCTTGTTCGGTACAAATCCTCTGCTAGGTGGAATCGTGAAAACTATTTAGAAAAATATATTTAGGGCCAGTTTGGAACGCAAAAAAAATTTCATAGGAATTTCACAAGAATCAGTTCAATTTTACAGCAAAAACACAGAAACAGAAAACAATTTATACGTTGCAAACATGCCCTTTTTTGCGGGGGAAAGGCTTGCCTCGGTTTTTTCCTTCCTCAGACCCCACTCATGTAGGAGCCTCCGGTACTGGGTCTGCCCTTTTTTTTTGCAAACATGCCCTTAGGAGTTTTCAAAAAAATTTAAACTATGCACATCCATAGTGCATATATAGATGTACATTGTAGCAAAATTTGAGATTCAAACTTGTTTTGTAAAAAAAAAAATATGAAAATAATTTTTTTCTGCATACACACTAGAGGACAAAAATTGTCATTTTCGTATGAATTTTTCTAGATTAAGTTTGAATCTCAAATTTTGCTACAATGTATATTTGTATAGTTAAATAGAAGCACTATAGATGTGTATACCGTGAGCAGAACCAAACTGGAAAAAGCGCAATCAGATTGCGTCGTGAGCTGATAACGGGCCAGGAAACCCCAACCAAACAGCGTAGAGCAGCATCAACATGAATGCCATAATTGTCTTTTGTGACGATGGCTTGAGGGATTAGCAAAGCGGTAGAGTGTTGCTTTACAGCGTCCAAACAGAATAACCACTTTAAGAACTGATCTTGTTTGCACCGTGCAGCATCAAAGCAATGAATCATCTTCTTGTCTATAGTACCACTGTGAAGACTCTCTTTCGAGTTCCTACATTTGATTGCACGCTCGGAATCCTAGCTATCACAGAAATGCCTTTTTTTTTGCGAATTGCTCCACACAGAAAGCCTAATGAGACTCTGAATGAGTTTTGCTCCTACTAGCCAATTTACTTTAATATTAGATATACAAATATAGATAAAATCTCTGTGGTTGTGATAGAGTAAATGTAAAAAATCGCTCCTCCCTCAGTAGTTTTCCTCAAACAAAGTACTTTGGAACAGTGCTTCAGATGTAAATAAAATTAGTAATCACCCATGCCACTTACCTGATGATGTTGCGCCGTATTTGGGAATAGAGTTGAACATCCTGTGTTGGTTGTAGATCTTTTGGTATGAATGCCCGTTTGGTATGGATTTTGGTAAATTTAAAAGCATAGGCAAACATACAATTCAATAGTTATAACAATTCAGATAGTCAGAGGCATATTGGATATTTGTTCTTTCTCAGCCACAAGACAGAGAAGCTGTTCACCTAATTATTTTTTAAAACAACTTTAACTTATCAGAGATTTTTTTTTGAGGGGTCAACTTATCAGAGAATTAGCTCTACTAGAGAAGCAGCTAAAACTTTTTTAATTAAAAAAACTGAAGCTGGTCCGAACTCAAAGCCCAGATCGATAAGATGGGCCCGGCCCATGAACATGCTTTCACGAGCCATTCCATTCCATCCGTTCTCCGTGACTCGCGCTGCTGGTCGCCACTCTCCAAAGCTGTTGTTGTTCAGGCGTACCCAAGTCCTATTCGATCCTCGATTCCCTTCCTCTCTTCCGCCGGCGGTGGGAGGCACGTCGGCCATGGCGTCGCGTGCTCACCCGGTCCTCCCCAGCCTCGATGCCATGGAGCCGGAGCGGCCGCCGCCGGCACTCATCAGCGAGCTCCTCGAGGAGATCTTCCTCCGCGTCGCGTCCGCCACGGATCTCGTCCGCGCCTCCGCCGCGTGCGTCTCCTTCCGCCGCCTCATCAGCAACCCGTCTTTCCTCCGCCGATACCGCTCCGTCCACCCGCCGCCACTTCTCGGCTTCCTCAACACAGCTGGCTTCCACCCTGTCGAGGCAACCCATCCCTCTGCCGCTGTCGCCCGGACCGTCGACTTCTCCCTCGACTTCCTTCCTCGCCCCGCCAGATGGTGCCGCTGGTGTCTGTTTGATGTCCGCGGTGGGCGTGTTCTCGTCGGACGCAGGAACGTGTGCGTCAAGATCAAGAAGCTCGACATGGGGATGAAGCACCGCTTCTCCTGGGACCGCCTCGCGGTGTGCGACCCCCTGTTCCAGCGATACGTGCTGCTGCCTCCCATCACCGACGACCTACTCGCCTCCGTCGGCCTCCATAACCAAGACTTGTTCTATTCCGGGGTCTCCTTGATCCCTTCTAGAGGCATGGAGGAGGAAACATCATCCAGTGTGATCTGCTGGATGATTTCCAAGATAAGATCCAAGACAAGATTGTCGGTGTTTATCTTCTCTACAAGCTCTGGTCATTGGGCTGCTGGTACATCTATCAGTTGGGCTGATTTAGGCTTGTATGGAGAAGTTGACAGGCTAATTTCAGGCCAATGTGTCTATGGTTGCTTCTATTGGAAAGTAAACTGCAGCAACAAGTTGGTCAAGCTTGACATGAACACTATGGAGTTATCCACATATGACCTCCCTCCTCATCATGAAAAGCAAAATATCTTCATTGTGGAATCAGGGGAAGGCAAGGTTGGGATGCTTAGTCCACTTGACGGAGGCACATCTTTGGAATATCACACCTTGTTGCAAAATGGCACTGATAAGTCCTATAAGTGGCATTTTAAGAGTACCATCCCATTGCCTGTCCATGGTACTAGTAAATTTCTTATTACTGGTCATGCTGAAGGATACATTTTCCTAGCTCACCTTATAAAAGAACAAGATACAACATATTCAGAGTTTATCTCTCTCGAGGTTAAGTCTTTAAATATTGAGAGTATGTAGGATATGTGGTACCTTTGATGCCCATCCATATTTTAGTTTCCCACCATCTATGTCACCAAGGAGGATTCAAGGATATGGAGAGGTATGTTTTTTCCCCCTTATCTTGACTTTTGTGGTTCACATGCCTTTGAATTACTGTCATGTGACTGTGATGCTGGAATAGCTTTATGTTTGTGGGTTCATCTAAGTCTTAGATCTTTATGGTCACCACATAGTGCACTTGCTATTAGACAATTTGCTTACGTTAGATACTTGCAGTCTGTTCCTAGTAGCATGATTTTTCTTGTGCTAGTATTCTTTGCTGTAGCAAAGGGAAAGCGTAGTCAGGAAGCCACTCATGATCTGCTTGCTGTTTTGTAAAGTTGTTGCCATGTAGGAGCCTTGTACTCTGAAAATAATTTTTTCATGGAGCATCCCACTGTATTCAACAAATTATGAATGAAATAGAAAAGACGAGCACTAATTTATTGACAAACTTTTGGACGATTGTTTCAAATTTAGAAGGGTTTGTATCCCAGTGAGGCTGTTTCATTGTTGACATGTGTTTAGTCTGGGTACTATTTATTGATTTCAGTTTCCATAATGTGGACCTTATATCTGTTCACTCCCTGCCTCCAGCGCTTAAGCAAATATTCTAAAGCTTTTACCTGTTCACTTGGCATAACTTTATGGAACTTCGTTGTTTCTAGTGTTTGTACATGTGATTGTGACGGGCTCACCTGGTTGCAGTTTAAAGTCAATAATTATAAGCAACTGAGCTGAGTGGTGCTACCATAGTAGTGTTTCCCAAACAACGTTGTCAGTGTACAAAAAGATGGTCTTTTGGGTACATTTGCTGTAAAATACTGGCTAATCAGCCTAAGCTCAGATACACTAACCTTTTGGTGATATTGGGTTTCTGCCTATTCTTGTATTGGGATCGCAATCTCATATGCTGTTCCATGTTCAATCTAGCTAGGGTTGGTCACACAAGTTAATTTGTTTGGGAGCTACACTATTTCAACTTTCTCATCTTTCAGTAACAGCAAACTGAAATTGATGATGTGTATGTGTGTTTTCTACATTAGTGCTTACTGCAATAAGGTTGTCTGTTATGGCAAGTAGAGCCGGCCCAGGGGCCCACGCGGTACTGTAGCGACGCGGTACTGTAGCGCGTGATTAGATTAGGTTAGATTGTTTGGTTTGTTAGGAAAGAGATATGTGGTTTTGTTTGTTATGAAAGATATATGTTAGATTGATTCGGTTAGGATATTTTTTTAGGTGTCAAGTCAGTCATCTCTATAAAAGAGAACCCTGTATCAGTTATAGTCAAACAAGAAGCAACAATTAAGTTGTTGGCTTCTCCTGGGAGCCAGCTGTTCCTGCCCTCTCTCCCTCGAGTGAACAGTACCCGCTGGTACTGTAGCTCCACCGCCGTCTCTCCCTCTCGATCCTAGCAGCCACATAATAATCTGGTATCAGAGCTCTCTGGTTTGATCATGTGGTTCGATCATATCCACCCGCTGCCACCAGCGTCTTCGTCAGCGCTGCTGCCACATATCAGCGCGCTGGCATTGGGCGCGCTGGCGTCCTCAGGGGCGATCGCGCCCTCTGCCCCGACGCCGTCGTCTCCCGTCGCCCTCGTCCTCACCCCGGAGCAGATGACGGCCGCAATTCTAGAATTACGGCAGGCCGTGGCGGGCAACAAGGCCTTCCTCGCCGCGACCACGGCGCCGGTCATCTCGTACCAGTATGGGATGCCCTACGACGGGACTGCGACGACCTCGTTCCCAGCCGTGCCACCGCCGTCCTAGGGTGTTCCCATACAGTAGATCAAGTTCCCGCTGTCGCCGTCACCACTTCCGGCTTGGATCGCCGGTTCGTCGAAACCCATCTACACGGCGCCCAGTACCTAGCCGCACCTACCGCCGCTTCCGGCCACCGGGCTGTCTTGGCGCCTGGCGGCGCCCCGGCTCCGAGCGTCTTCTACGGCGGGGCCGCGTCGCCCTCGATGGATAGCACGGGTGTGGCGCCCTCGGCCGCCGCACAGGCCCCGTTGGAGTTCGCCACATCACCAATGAAGGCCCCGACTGCCATAACTCCGGCAGTCTCATCACCAGCTTCGCCAACAACCCCGCCAGCACTAGTGTCACCAATGCAGGCGATCATCCATGCACCGACATTGGCGGACATGGTGCCTTTGTCGCTGCCTCTACGAGCCACAGCACCGATCCCTCGAGCAGGGCCGTGGCTGTTGGCATGCGCTTGTTCTCCGCCGGCTCAGCAGCAGGCCTTCAAAGCTCCATCGGTCGCTTGGAGTACGCCTCCAGCACAGCCCCGCTCGGCTGCACCCATAGTGGGAGTGGCTGCTCGTGGAGGGCACCATCGACTCCACGTGCAGGCGCTCCATGGATTCGATCCGGGCGGATTCGATTCCACGCAGATCAGATGGAGCAGCCAAGTTTGGCACCTCGAGGAGGAAGCAGGTCTGCCATGGCGATCTTCTCTGGACCGCAAGGTCTTTCGCTCCAGCAATCGCCACAGCTCGAGGACGAGCTGTCTTCGAGGGGTGGAGTAGTGTTATGGCAAGTAGAGTCGGCCCAGGGGCCCACGCGGTACTGTAGCGACGTGGTATTGTAGCGCGTGATTAGATTATATTAGATTGTTTGGTTTGTTAGGAAAGAGATATGTGGTTTGGTTTGTTAGAAAAGATATATGTTAGATTGATTCGGTTAGAATATTTTCTTAGGGGTCAAGTCAGTCATCTCTATAAAAAAGAACCATGTATTAGTTTTAGTCAAGCAAGAAGCAACAATTAAGTTACTGGCTTCCTGGAAGCCGGCCGTTCCTGCCTCTCTCCCTCGCGTGAACAGTACCCGCGGGTACTGTAGCTCCGTCGCCGCCTCTCCCTCCTAATTCTAGCAGCCACATAACATTGTCACCTCTCTAATTAAAAAAAAAACATGTTAGTTTTTCTTCACCTTTTCCTTTAATCGAAACTATTTCTGAGCAATTGACATTATGCTGAACTGAATTGTGAACATTCCACCCTTCAAATTATGCCTGGGCACTATAACTGTGGAAAACACTTCAAGTAAATGTTTTGGAAGCATATGCTTTCTGCAATGGTGGTTTCTATTTTCTATAAGTTCTAACTGCATCTATTCGCTTGCAGGTCTAGTACTCATCCGGGCCGGGGGCTGTTTGGCGACTCGCTGCTGTTTCGGAGCATTGGAGGCTTGGAGCAGATGCATCCTTATGTATCTCACTTTCTCTGTTCTACAGTTCTACTAGGTGCTTTCGGTTGCCGTGGACTCTACGAATGTCCGATGAATGCTGTTTGGTTTGACGCAATGGTACATTAGCCGCCAAGTTGGCCGATGTATTTGTTAGGCTGCTGGTCTGAGTTGCATTATGATGTAGGAGTAAGAACCAAGACATCATAGACATGTGGTCTCCTATATTTAAGCGTTCAAAATCTTGTAACTGAAGTACTGAACCTTTTGCCTTTGGATGTCTTGAATTGTACTACTGTCTAGTGACGACGACAACAATAATAACAACAAAACCTTTTAGTCTCAAGCAAGTTGGGGTAGGCTAGAATTAGAAACCTAACATTAGCCCCTAGCCACGGTTCATGTACGTCAATAGCGGTTTTCCAAGCACACATATCAAACAAAGATTTCTAGGTATATTCTAATCCTTTAATTTTTTTTATTGTCTCTCCCCGTGTTAGCTTCGGTCTTACTCTACCTCTTCTAACGTTGGTATGTCTAGGAGTAGCTAACGTTGGTACGTCTAGGAGTAGCGAGGAATTACACCGTGCGAAAGAACGATTAATAAGTGAGGAACTACACTGTGATACGGCACTTTGAAACGCGATGCTGCCGTATTTGCGGATGAAGTGTGGACAGAGTAGAACACTTATCAACACGAGGGAGTAGTACTTGTTGCGTAGTACGTAATACATTACGAATCTACGCCCTGTTCGCTATAGGGGTGGAAAAGTATGCATGGAATGCGTCTGTAAAAATGTCGATTCGATGGAGCTTGTTTTTCCGGTATATTGTACATGTATAGTCATCGTCATGTACTCCTACATACGGTGCTGACAAGGTTGCATTGCTTGGTTCTCGTGCACAACATTGCAGGTGGACCGGAGATACCGGCGGTTGCGGGCGGGTTCGAGGCGGTTGCCGGGGAGCGCGCGGCGCTGCGCTGGCGTCGCGCACCATCTCGCGGCACTTCCGGAGCCTCCGGGACGGCGTGGTGGCGCAGCTGCAGCCTCCACCGGTACCTAGTGTCCTAGTCGTTGGCTTCGTCAGCTCCTCTGGCTTCCACCCTGCCGAGGCGCCCCATCCCTCCGCTGCTGTCGCCCGGGCTGCTGAGTTTTCCTTCGACTACCTCCCTCGGCACAACTCTAAATTATTGCTATGTGACTATGACGCTGGAATAACATCATATTTGAATGACGTGATTGTGGGTTCATCCAAGTCTTCTATTTTCTGGTCACCACATAGTTCATGTGCTGTTTGACAATTTGCTTCCGTTAGAGACTTGCAGGCATTTCTTGTCCTGTGTATTATTTGGTGTAGCAAAGGTAAAACGCACTAAGGAATTCACTCATGATCTGCTTGCTGTTTCATCAAGTAGCGGGTATGTAATAGCGTTGTACTATGAAAACCATTTCCCATGGAGCATCCACCCCACAGTATAAAAAAAATCTCAAAAAAGAAGAAGATAAGTACTAGTTTATCAACAAGCTTCTGGGCATTTGTTTCAAATCTAGAAAGGGTTTGTATCCTTGTGACTTTGTGAGGTTGTGACCTTATTCACATATGATTAGTCTGGGTACTGTTTAATGGTTAGTGTGGGCATTGTTTAATGACTAGTTTCGGTAATGCGGGGCTTATATCTGTTGTCTCCTTGCCTCCCATCCCATGCTTATGCAAATATTCCAACATTGACAAATGCTTCTTTCTATTGATCTATTCACTTGGCATAGCTTTATGGAACTTCATGTTCTCTTATGTTTACATTTGTGACTGTTAGGCTCACCTGGTTGCAGTTTAAAGTCGCTAATTATATTATGATCCATTAGAGCAACTGAGCTGAGTGGTAGTACGATAGTAGTGTTTCCCAAGCAGCATTGCCGGTCTTCTAAAAGAAGTCTTTTGAGCATGTTTGCTGTAAAATTTTGTTATGAGCCTAAGCTCGGCTACACAGGCCTTTCAGTTATAATGAGCTTCTACCTTGACAAGGCCATGAGAAGCATGCAGAATTAGTGTTATATTTCGTGGTTTGCTGGCATCGATTTCAAAGGTTTTAGCATTCATATGCTATATCATTAGAAAAATATACGAGTCTTTGCCAGGCTCCGCCATGGCTGTCTCTGTCTCGAGGTTGGAGGCCGAGAGGAGGTTTGAGGCTATGATAGGAGCTGGCAATGCAATTGGAAGAAAGAGCAAGACGATGCTGGCCGGATTTATAGCCGACGCGCGCAATTCCTAGCTTACTTGGGTGTGCCAGCTTTCCTGATTCCTTGCTCTTGCTTGCACCGTCGACGTAGACATGTACCCCCTGCAAGCCAAAGGATGCTCCCATGGCTTTTGCGTTGCACTTTGCATCTTACCGTTCTGAATCAGACATTCAGACACTGTAGTTCGGTGAATGTAGCAGTGTAGACAGTAGAATTAATGTAATTATACTACACTTTACAATGTAATAACAATGTTCTGTTCTCCAGGATCTTACTTCTTATCTGCAGCCCAAAGCAAGAGCAGAAGAAGTCTTCAGGCTTTGCCAGAGCATTCAGATTTCAGATTCACTGGCAACGATCTGAGTTCCAGTTACTTTGTTCCGTTCTTTTTTTTACCACCTGAAACACAGTATGGCAGCTGCGAATCATGGAATCGGAAACGGTTGCTTGCAGTTGCAGCTGGTATAGGAGTATGCTTCTTGCTGATAACAGTTCAATGAAGTGCTGTGTCAGCTTTAGAACAAATCCCTGAACTCCAGCTTCTGCCTTTGAAACCTGCAAGCAAGCATTAGATCCTGTCACATCGTTGCACACCGTACACTGGACTAGTACGTGTCATATACTCATGTAGGCCGTAGGGCAACGAAACCATATGACGCAAGAGATCTCAAGGCACAATCAGAACAATAATTTTTTTAATAAAGAAAGGCTTTTATTAATTCATAATCAATACATCGAGTTGATATAATAATCATGAATTCACTTCCGGCCGAAATGCTCTAATTCGAGCGTCCGACTTTTTTTCTAGAGTACGCCGCGGAGCCACGTCAACTCTAATTCTCGTGTACTCCGGTTTAGCTGACACCACTGCCGTTTAATCTTGTCCTCCGACTCCAATAATACGACATGGGGGATGGATGACGTGAGTATGTGATATAAGATCAGCGCCTGACTTGTGCGGACGACACAACGTACGGCTAGTACCTGGTGTCAGTGGCGAAATCACCGCCCGGCTGGCTGGCCGGGCTTCTCGGCAGAAAAAACTCTTTATATCAAAGAAAAATACTATGATGTGCTAGCTAAATATTTTACGATAATAATACCTATAGGGCATCCGTCCGTCCGGACGGACGGAGCTCGCACACGCTGCACGCCGCCTGCCTGCGCTGCATGCCGCCCACCCTTGTCCGCGCCTCGCGCGCCTGAGCTACAGAGATTAGTAGGGCAGCAATAGTGACGTAAGACTAGAAAATGGCACGGATTCACCGCGTCTCCCTCCGCGGCCGCGCTCCATTCACCCGTCGAGGTACGTGCTACCAATGAGCTTTGCACCGGTGATCTCCGCACCACTCCGGGGCATTGAGCTCCATGCCAGCGTCGAGCTTCGTATGTTTCATATGTTTCATTTGATGTTGTATGTGCTTCATCTGGATGGTGCAAAAGTAGATCTGATGTTGCATATGTTGCAATGGCTATAAATTTATGTTGCAAGTGTGTGTTTCAACTGTTTCAGACGTATGTTGCAAAGTGTTTTATCTGGATATTGCATATGTTGCAGTAGCTATATACACATATGTTGCAAGCCTATGTTCCAAATGTTTCACCTATTTAGATTTATATTGCAAGTGTTTTATCTGAATGTTGCATATGTCGCAGTGGTTACACATATGTTGCAAGCATATGTTTCAAATATTTCACTTTGTTTTAGAGGTATGTTGCAACAAATGCTTCAACGGTAGAGTAGCAGGCGTAGGCACGAAACAACATACGAGCAGCAGGCGCAAGCACGCAGCAGCATGCGAAGTACTCCGACACGAGCAACCGAGAGAGATGGAGGGATTAGCAGGTGCACAGCATGCAAAGTAGTATGCAACACGCTAGCCTCAAAGTCTTCTCGTCTTATCGGCTCTCAGGGATCCACTGCCACCACCTTCTTAGCATCCAGACCTATGCTCGTGGCGTACGTCAGCCACGTGTGCTTTGGTTTGAGCAACCATTGCAGGTTCGTGCCACCAACCAGCCGGTGGACAAAAGATATCCGCGTCGCGTCCTGTCCCTGAGAGCCATAGCGAATCAACCGTCGCCTTCACCACTTCGCTCTTTCCGTATTAATCCCACCCGGCCCTCCCATCTCTGCTTCTCCACTTCCCCTTGCTCGATTCGATCTTGGCACATGTGTTGACGGTAGTTAACGTTCATCATAAACCGTCAATATAACTTATATAAATGCATAAAAAAGATCACCAACATAGGTCTATGGGTTTAAACTAATAAATTCCACAAGTTTTGATGAATTTGTGTTTGCAGAAGGATTTACTCAGAAAACCGTCAAGGAGGGCCTATTCGTTAAAGGAAATCACGTTTATCTACAGCGAAACCGACGTGGGAAGACTTTAGAAGACTTCAGAAGGCAAACCACCGAAGCAGAGGGTAGGAGGCTGCCATGTGGGGCCAACCGGCACCACCTGTAGGCCGCCTGCCCCCTGGGCCCACCTGTCAGCCCCTCCTTCTAATGTCGGTTCTCCACTGCCTCCTAAATTGCATCTACGTCGTTCTTTTAACTCAGTTTGATCCGATTGTCCAGAATTGATGCTCCGGCCTATATATAGCAGCCCCTACTCCCCTCCCTAGAGTATCCCTAAAACTCTAATTCATACCTCTCATTCAGAGATCAAGATACATCAGGAGTATTAGGTCTAGACTCTCCAATGTAGTAGATTAGTAGCTCGGGAGTGAGGGTCGAGTTGGGCTCATACTCAAGTTCCGGATCTAGTCTTGTAGGCTCGGCAAAGCCTTGTATCTTCACTTCCACATCCTGTAAGACTTATTATAAATTCATCATATTCCTATCTACATGCTATGCTTACTTTTTAATATGTATCTTGCTTAGTTGAGGTTATCATACTTTTGTGTGCGGGTTCATAGAGCGCTTAGCCTGCTAGTTTATTGATTGGGCTAAGTAGCCGAGCCTTATGTAAGCATGGTGCTTATACGATGCTCTGCCTGTGAGTACACCCTGTTCTCTGGTTGGGTGGTAGTAGCGGGAGATGACAGCTCCGTCCATCCTTTATAGTCCACTCCGAATTGAGCAGGTTCTTCAATTGTAGGACTGTAGTCGTGTCGGTAGAGTTATATATTATGGGTACTCTACCGTCTAAGCAGCGCCCCGAAGTGCACAAGAGTAGATTTAGTTTAACTATAGTTGGATGTATATATACTTTGACCATGTAATAAGCATATATCACAGGAATCTACCTCACTCATTGCACTCCTGAGTTGACTAGTTTACGTTATCTTATAGATCTACCCCCTAAGTATCATTAACCTTAATTTCTATCATTACCTTCACCCCTGCTCTAGCCATGCTGGTATGTTGATTGATAGATACTCCTTTGATATTCATTAAGTCTTTACTCCATTGTTTCCCGGTGATAAAATATAAATAACGATACCTGAAATACTCCCGATAAAATGCTACAATGGTATTCTGTGCGCTTGCGGAATTTTTCATATTCTATTTACACTTATAAATATCAACAAGCATTTTTGGCATCGTTATCGAGGAAACAATTGGTGTAAAGATTTAGATCATTAATATACCACTAGCTTTAGTAGGATTACCCCTGTTCTATTGAATTGTGGAATTGACAGGACAACAGATGCCGTTTCGACCTTCCGGCAAGCTTCCACAAGAAAAGAAGAAAAATATTGAAGAACCCTAGGGTGCCTAAACATTTAAGATCCATCAACATTGGAACCCTGCCATCTCACAGGTTTGTATAGACGTATATATTCTCTAACTAGGTGTAGATTGAAGAAAAAGGTCGTCGTCACAAGAATTCAAATCACATCTCAAGTGATGAATACAAACGCTGCACTACTCACAAATTCCATCATGTGAGTCATGGTAAGTATGATCAAGAAAGGTGAGATAGTCTTGCTCATAGACTTTAAACTTAATGAGTAGTTATCTTTTAATTTTTGTATTCTATTGCTTGTTTATTTTCAATGATTCATGCATCCACTCTGTTTAGTTTAAATTCTCTCATTTCAAATTCATAGCATATTTAGTTCCTTACATACATTTATACCCTTGCATCTTTTATTAAAAAAAGAATCTCACCATGATCATGCTTCTTCATCTCCATTTGAATAAATCTCTTTTATGCTTTCATGTTACTTTTATTTGCTATAGTATGCTTAGGTTTGGAGTATCTTCATACACCTTTTAAAGTAAGTGTGGTACTTAGTTTAAGCTATTTTCTTAAATCAAATTAGATGTGGTGTTTAGTTTGATTTTTAAACCAAGAGATGTGTTGATCTTACTTTCAAAGGCTTTTTAAATTAAGCATGCTGCTTAGGTTAAAATGTTTTCCTAAATTAAAATAGACATAGTGTCTAATTTAATTTTTGAGCCGATAGTATAGTTTAGTAGATACTGGTTATTTTGTTGGACTAACCCCTACAGAAAACTCTCAAATTCAATCTAGGTAAGTCCTGAGATAAAATTACATTAGAGATGAATCAAGGCATGCGATGAACTCCAATAACTTTGCGCAAAGAAGACCCAACTCATTCTTCATGGAAGGAAGAACTGTGAGCATCAAGGTTTATTCACTTATCTTTTTTTGCAAGTTATCTTTGCCTTGAACCATACCAGAATGCAGCAAACACATAAAACACGATAAACAAAATCTATGCTAAACAATCCTAAAACCATCCTTCCATTAGCATAGAAGAAAATCACAAAAAATGGACAACACAACCCGTGTTTTAAATTCATTATTTTTCTTGGGTATGTGTCTATTAACATTTTGAAGGAAAGAATGAATAAAAGCTATGCTTGTTCAAGGTTTGGTATGAATCCACAAACCCTAAACCAAACCACCACTACAATTATGGAAGTAGACGAATAGATCGACAGGCTATGAGCAACATGAAAGACAACCTAGCTTTGAGCCTTCCCAAGACTCAAGCTAGGATGCTGATGAGAAGTAGGATGAAACCCACCTTGTATTAACCAGAATATGCCTGCCTTCATCATCTTTATAGGGACTAGCTCGCGCGTTGGCAACAAAGACCAAGACAATGAGATGCCACTACATCATGGCGTGCATCATTGTGTCAACAAGCATCATCAATCAATGGTTCATTGACGACTGTGTCTCGTAAGGCCATAAACGACCATGGTCACCCAAAGATATCCCCTAGTCATTAAAGATGAAGCTTCCATACGAGTACCAATGAGGATCTTTCTTTGATCATCAAGACGGCTAGCATATCGCTAACAAACAAAGAAGAACAACTCTCCACCACATCGTTAGACGATCAAGGAAGAACTTGAGTTTGCATCTCCAATGAAC